AAAAATAGGGGATATACCTGTGGATTGGCCGCGTTCAGTTGCTCATTCTCCTGCAACCTCCATATCATCTCCATTTCTTCACGATGATTGAAATCTGTGTAATACGGAGAATATGCAGATATCGAATGAAACAAAATCGAAGAAGAATTAAGTAAATGAGAGTAGGAAAAATCAAATCAACAATGAATACCTTCGATGATAAGAGCTGACTGAGCACAAGCACAACAACAAATAAACAAAGCTATGATGAAAAACAGAAACAGAAGCGTGACAAGGGCAGCGATATAGCCACTTTTTTCCCACTTTGAAATTCTGGAAACGGCTCAATAAGTACTTTGAATGAACGGTTTCATAGAAGCCGTCTTGGTGTAGAAGCCACGCGTTTACTGCTCTCGATGAAGCCCTGGACCAATTCCGAGCCCAACCAGAGGAAGGCGATTTAGAGAACTGAAGGAGGCCATCGAGTTTGTTAGCCTAGGGAAATAGCGAGCTGTAGCGAGGAGCACCTAGCTGGAGGTAATGAGAAGAGACGAGAACGATAGAAAAATCTGACTACCAGAAGTGGTTTCATACATAATCATCTGTCAATTATCGGTGACACAAGTACTGGTAGAATCAGTCGATATAATGGATCGAATCGTTCTGTAGAACAAAATGGGCCATGGCACGAACATTTCTCTCAAATAATTTTGACTTCCAGAAAAAGCTCACTCCAGGAGGAAAAAGAAGCAGAATGTAGGCAAAAGCAAAGGTAAAACCTTCAAGAAAGTCGAAGAGTATTAAAGGGGAAGTGTGGTGCATTTCTATTCCTCGGTAAAACTGAGCAAGCACCAGCGTGTCGAATACTCCCACCAATGCGATGAGTAGGACCTCCCTAGGACTCCACCAATAGATGGAGCTGCGTGACTGAAAGCCTGAGCCTCATCTATGATCTGATTGCGCTCCCTGTCTTCTGAATCAGGTAAGAGACTTGCCTAAATTCAAAAGGATCTTCTGGAGGTGTTATTGGAACGTACAGCCCTTTCAGTTTTCCATTGAGTGGAGCTCCCGTAATTAAATTTGCTAGTGCATGTACCGACTCTGAAAAAAGCTCTAGAGATCCAGCCTTTCATCGGAAAAATAAACTCGAAAGGCACCATAAATAAACTCGGAAGATGCTAATCGGTAAACTTACCCATATTGGGTACGAGACGCGAATAGGGAATAGCCGGCAAGGCAACGAAACGCACCAGATTGCCTTCTTCAGTAACGTATTGTATTGAGGTGAAGGTACAGTTTATACAGACCTTCACTTTCCAAAAACTCAACTGTTCATGATTCTCTATTCCTGAAACAGATCAATATTTTCCGACAAAAATCGAATGATTGGACTAAAAGGCAGTGTAGTGAGGTCCAAGAGTGCTGTAAGACTGAGAAAACGTAAACCCCTCTTAACGAGAAAGCTGTTATTAGGTTCGGTTTCTCAAAAACCAGATTTTGTTTGAGTTACATAAGTGAAACAGAGGAAAGGACAGCCGATCGAAGGAGACGCCTCTGACGAATTCTCTTATCATGCTTTTTATTTTTCGGTATTTAAATTATTCAGCGTTTCTCTTTTTCATTTGAGAAATCACCGGAATTCGCAGGGGATTCATGTAGTCAAATATCGGAGCTATTGTCACATAGCCTACCTTTCAAAGCAGTTGAAGTTGCCTGGATATCACAACTCGTTCCCATCAGAATGACAGCTGTTGACGATGAAAGCTTTGTACTGGAGTTCATGAAATCCACAATATCGTAACATGGGCCACCTACATGGGAAATGATTTCATTGGACGTTTTCATGTTGCTTCTTTTGTTTCCCAGAATCGACATGAGCCACGCATTTCGCTTTAATGGGGGAACCCGAAGGTGTTGGAAATTTGAGTATCTAGCCTAGGCAGTGGAACACTGGCCTGGCTATGTTCGTGTATCTAACGGAGCGATAAAAAGCCTTCAAATAGAAAAAGCCACGCGGCTGCACGGTTAGACGCATCTCCTCCCTCTTTTTGATCCAAATGATGGGACGTCAACAGGGTCGCCAATCCTATTTTCTGAAACCACAAAATTAAATAAATATTTGCCAGATGAAGATCAACTGGGAGGAGCAGTAGGGGAAGGTCGGGGTAGCACTACTACAAGTGCTCAACATTTCATATTGCCAATTTCTTTGAGTGAACTTATGCATGACATACCGATTTTCGGCCGAGTATCACTGGCAGCCAGTTGAAAAAATGAGGCTGAATTCATTAAACATGACAAGTCTCGATAGAAATCCTGTAACATTTACAATACAGCTGCAACATGAGGTTGAAGGCTTTCAAGGTGGGAGGATGGGAGGGGTTGGCACAGGCTTGTGGGCGAGATTACCCGATAGATCAGTTGGGGCAACATCACCGCCTTTTCTGCTACTAGCAGGCATTGTAAGCCCAACGGAAGAGCGGACAAGCTGCCCAATGTCTCGGATGATTCAGTGGCGGGGTATAGCTGCTGCTCTGATAAGTACGCTCCGAAAACCAGACTAAAAACAGCTACGACGTGTTTTTATGTTATGATTCATTCATTGCTCATCCCCTGTGCTTGAAAATAGAAAAGGGGCAATGAACTGAACCCAGACCCCACTTCAAAGGACGCCGTTGTTTTCAGCCGAAAGATATCTTACAAATACTCCTCGTAGTTTTTTGCGCCCCTTCCCCCTGCCCACCTTCAGGATTCAAGTACTATCTTTTCTTATTGTTATCTTACACTGTCTACTATCTCACTTACCACTACTTACTACCTATTACCACTGCACTTACAAACTCGAACTTGATCTTACCGGTAATACACACTACTCATTCTTTATGAACAGAACTTGAAACGGGAAATAATTCGCCAAATGAGACACTCGAAAAACCACCTTGTTGAATTGGGACTGCAATTTTTGAAATATCACTGTCGTATGATTTCCTTCGCCTTCAACCCTTCCATATAGATCACACCAATTCACCTAAAAATCAGGAGAACATTTCTGAGCATAGCCCGGGTTGGATGCGCCATGCATGCACTTTCATGGTTAATTGTAGCGGCACTTGCCCTTTTCAAACATTTTTATTGCTATCGTAAGTTGAATGAATCCCTTTCACGTGATTAGAGGAAAGGCTAAAACTAGGCTGAGCATAGCGTGGGCTGGATGCGCCGCGCATGCGGTTTTTATTGTTAATAGCAGCAACATTTGCCTTTTTCGAAATTTTCGTTTCTATCGTAGGTTAAATGAAACATTTTTAAGTGATTCCAGTGAAGACAGAAACTCCGTTGGTGAAGGTCAGACTTCATTCCCTTAAGATTCCAGGATAAACAGCCCTGTGAAGTTCAAGAAGGCGCGATTGCTAGTTTTTCAAGGTGAAGCGATCCTTGCAGTCCATGTCTGATCAAGATGTTCTACAGAAAGTCCAAGTATTTCTGTCACCATAGTTCTCAAACCAGTCCTTGTCACTCAATAATCGTATCAAATAAAAAGGAATCGACACAATAGACGAGACACGCGGACTACTTTATGGGATTTCTTCCATCCGAAAACTACTCGGAAAAACTGGTAGAAATAGCATTCGCGTACAGTGGTGTTTTTGTGCAAGAGTCTCGTGATACGCTCAGAACTTGTTGCCAACTGACTTTCATCACATTACTCGACCTTGTTACTGATTGTTGCTCAACGTATTTGCATCACTTCTCCATAGATAACCCTATCCAGTAGTAGAATGGAATCATATCTCAGCCGCTACGTTCACAATCAGCTGATTTTCTTAGTTCGCTAGGAACACAGGGAAAGGCAGGTGATTGTCAAGCGGCTGCGCCACCTGCTGCACTCGCTTTTTACTTTTCTCGTTACTTTTCATCCAAATTTCGTAGCCCTTTTCATGTTTGTCTGGAGTGTTGTACTCGGAATAACACCAAGCGGCCTCTTACCATAATCGTGGTCAATCTATGGCAGAGCTGGTCAAGTCTCCGACGGTCAACCGTCCTGTCCATGATTCAGAATGACTGTTGATGCCTTCTAGTAAGCCATATCGCCGATTTCCAACTGGATGCTCTGTAGTCATTTGAAAGGGCATTTGCTTACTTTACCGCATGGCTCGTGAATTTACCTAGAAGTTAGTGGATAACGTCGGGATTCGGACACATGGTTTTTCAAGGCAGATCTGAAGAGCAGGTCAGCCAGGGTTTTTACACTTTCATGATCACCTTAGACGATAGCTGGCCCTCTCAAGTCATTATCAGAGTGAATGCGCATGAGAGTTCCACTAAAATCCCGAAAGGAAGCCATGCAATCGACGTCCCTAAGATCCCTGGTGAAGCTAGAAACTTCACAGAGCACTTTGTCTGTTTCTCCTAAAGCTGATTTGCCAAGAGTAATCCGTAGGTCGTAAAATCACCAAGTCCACTACCATCTAATTCGTTGGCTTCTTCAATGGCCGTCTAACCGTTCGATTACGGGGGTACGTAAATGCCTTTGAGTCGTTCTACGCAATTCAATGCTAGTATACTGCATGGAACAGCCTAAGTGACAAAATTCTTTTGCTATGATCGTGAATGCGCTCGGAAAGTCGACTTGCAAGCGGAAAAATGTAGATTCTCCGCTATTTCCGTCTCATTTCCGTTGTCACCCTTTATTGTAGTCAGGTGTTATGAATTCGAATGCATCAGACAGAATGACAGGTTTAAATTGAGGTCGAAGTAATCAACCCCGTGAAATGACATAAATAAAAGCGTCGGCCCCTTCGTTCAGATACAGTCCAAGTAGCACTGATGTAAACTGGTAGGTCTTTTTAGTCTGGCAGAAACTTTCCATGTCGAATTGAATCGTCGAAAACGTCGGATTCGGCCTATTGTTGAATTCGGTCCCTACATTCTGTTGGTATCTTCTGAGCCAGCTGATTACCTCAGCCTACTTTGTTGATTCAGCTCCACGAATCCTGGTTTAGAGGGAAATCATTTTTACTTGTTAACTTCATTCCTAAACAGTCCTGGCGTTCTGGGTTCGGTCAGCCAAACACCCAAATCTTCGAGGCCAGTCAATTGGAACAAGACTAGTCTCATTGATATGAAGTCTGATTTGTGGCCTCTGCAGGTCCTTATGGAGGCCGAATATGGAGGTCCTTATGGAGGTCCTTATGGAGGCCGAATTCAAAGGCTACTACGATTCTGAAAGAAAATTGAATGCTTTGGCACATCTCGAAACTAGGTTCATCACATTCTGGTCATTGTAAGCCATATTCTTACACCGCTATTTGCTTACTATTTCATTTGAAGAATCTTAGACGAAAGGAAAAGTAGGTCCCATACAGTCTCCATGGGACTAATTCTCCAAGGCTGCCATGAAACTGCACGTCTTTGACGTCATATAATGAGTAGCAGCCTGATCAAAGGAGTTTCAACAGAATTTGAACTGATTTTAAGGGAGATCCATCCAAATCCCAGTCTGAATGATGAGGTGCACTAGTAGTCGTATGTGCATAGAAGTAATACATGGTAGGGTGCCTACGGAGTGGATCACCTGACGAATCTCACTTTCAAGTTCAACAGCTAAGGCTTCTTACAATGTCTGAGAGCAGCCCGTCCTATGGTTCCAGCNCTAGTGAACAGCTTAGCTTTGCCATTTGGACTGCATTACTTATTCCTGGCAATTTTATAGAGTTTCAATTTATTTTTTCGTTACAAAGCCACTAGATTTTTCTTATGAAAAATCTTTCCTTTTAGACCGTTCCGTCGTCGCACACACTCAAGAATTAGGCGCTCTGGCCCTTAAACGACTTCCGCTTTCCATAAGATTGCACCATGTCCAAACCAAGATTTTATCAATTTGCGAGTGACGGCATTATTGCCATTCAATTTGTAAGTGTTATGAAGGAGCAAAGGCAGAACCTTCCAGCAGCCCACCAATTGAGGTGTGAGGCCTGTAGTTGGCCCGGCTTCCCATTAATCTATCCAGTATTTTTGGTGCAGCCTTCGGTCTTCAGAATTCTACAGCTTCGCTAGCGTTACATCAATTTCAAGTGAATTTCTCCCACATGCAGTTATCGTCAACGCCGTTTATACTACTGCCAACGCCGTTTATACTATGTTTAGATTCTTCTCGAGAGAACTTGGACTCACTTTGAGTACATTGTCGTTGTCTATCGCTGCTGTAATGAGGACGAGTAGAAAATTCTGAACAAAGCACCGCATAGTAGAAAAAACGTCGAGTTATGAATAACCAACCTTACTTTATAACTTGTATCATATCAAGTCCTTTATCATAAAGTATCAGTATCAATGGGCATTACTAGTTTACCAGTATTCATTGAACGGTCACATGAGAAACTTGTCGGGGTTGTTTACATGAAAGTAGGAAGTTTCACAGCTCGAAATGTGTTTACTATAGAAATGGCCTTGCCAATTGTTTGAAAAAGGCTCATTTCCGGAAATAAAACCAGATTCCTGAAGAAATGGATTGGGGTCGAGTGACATTGCAAAAATAGGTGTGGCTTGGGAGACTGGTAACAGGTCGCGTATGGAAACAGCCCCGGTCATGAAGGTTCCCTTTCCCTTTGGAATCTCATTCCTCTTCCTATTTTACAAGTTAGTGGAAGGTACCTCTATGAAGGTGCTAACCCAACTTGTACCCTCTCGCATGATAACCCTTTTTGTATTCTCCCGCATGACTGTAAAAACTGAAAATGCATTTGAATCCCGTTACCATTCCAAATAAAAGCTGGATCGTGGGCGTGTGCCTAAGTAAGAATGAATTTCTTTTTCTTTTTTAAAAATTTTTTTCGGTGTTAGATCTTTTTTTTGGGCTTCTTGAAACTTCCATTCGGAGCGACAGGCAGGATGGAATTCTAAAAACCTTAGAATGAGCCACGTCACCAACTTCCCGTCAGATACTTTATAGATATTCAGAAGAGCGCATTTGCTCTACGGAGCTGCTTGTGAAGACCGTACATGATCATGGTTTCCGAGTAGAATCCTAACACATAGCTTTTGGAGTCAACGATGGGAGTCTGTAAGGTTAGGACGAGATTTATGAGCATGATCACAGCGATTATTTTTGCCGAAACCGGACTGAGGAACTTTTTGTAATCCATCAATTTTATTTACTTCCACTTCCTCCTATTTATGGGAATTTCAGATCGGATACAGTAATGTTCTGGCCTCTTGTTTCCCTTCGAATTCCAGGTTGTAGCAGAGGCTGATCCGATCTCTCCACTTGTATGTACGACTTAGCACCACTTTGTTAAGCTCATAAATTGGTCCTCTTTGATGATGGT